CCACAGCCCCCCAGTTTCTTAATGAGAACGGGGTGAGAGACAGTGTCAAAAGCCTTCCGGAAGTCCAGGAAGACTATGTCCACTGCTACCCCTGCATCTAATGATCTGGTGATCTGATCGTAAAAGGCCACCAGGTTGGTCTGACAGGACCTGCTGCTGATGAACCCATGTTTGTTGCCCCTAAGCATGCAGTCCCCTGACTTATGCAAGTGCTTAATGTTGCAAGCAGCCATGCTGAGGTACCCTGTGCCCGAGCCAGCCAGAGCAGCAGGTGGAGAGGAGGAAGCAGGCCACCCAGGGTGGCCTGCTCCCCATCTTGACATGCTGCAGACCCTCTGCACTGAGGCATCCTGCACCCCAGCCCTCTGGGGAGTAGCTAGCTGGGGCACAGGATGCCTCGGCACGGGAGCTTCTTAGCAGAGCCCCTACGCTGAGGCGTGTGGAGATGGGAGCAGCCAACCCAGGGCTGTCTGCTCTCCTGTCTTAAGATTCACTGCACCCCAGCCAACCAGGAAGCAGCTTTATTTTCAGGGATTTTTTTTATTTTTTTTTTTGTTACTGGGAAGTTGCAGTAGCAAATTTTGCCCTGTTGCTGCAAATTAGCAAATTGTGGAGCAAATTGCAGCTCCACAAACTGCATGTGCCTGCGTGCCTGGATCCGGCCTGTAAATTGTTCTGTTGAAGTCAGTGCAATTATTCACTGCATATAAAGTTAAACACCAGGTTACACTTTTGCAGGGTTAGGGCGAAAGGCAGGAGTACTGTCTGCTGAGGCTAAACAGTTTTCACTTGTATTTAAAACTAACCCTATAACAATTTGTTTCTAACAGGAAAAGAGAAGAGAAGCTGGAGTGGATGTACCAGGGTCCTGGGGGGATGGTGAACAGAGAGGAGTATCTGATGGGCCGCCCTGTGGATAAATACGTCTTTGAGAAGACTGAAGACAAGGATGCAGGTTGTTCCTCTGAGACAGGGCTTCTTCCAGGCTCCATTTTTGCCCCCACAGGTGCCAACTCTGTCCTAGACATAGCAAACAAAATCCGTGAGGATCCACTTTTCATGATAAGGTACTAAACACAGAATTGGTAGTGGTGGTAGACAACAGTGAGCAAGTTGTTATCACTGCTGTCAGTTCACTGAGTACCACACCCAGTGCACTTGTGTCCAAGAATCCTGTTATGTTTGTTAGCCTCCTGTTCCCTCTATCCTCATGTCAGTTTCATTCCCTTGTGTGTTCTCTTGACTGTAAGCTCTTTGGGGCAGAAATTGTTATTGTCCTGTAGAACCACAGAGTAAGTAGAGACCTGGTTTAGGCCCTTGTACACTTTTACAACATAGTCCAAAATACTTGCATCTGCAGGTCTTTGGGTGGCTTTACTGGCGTCTGTGATTCTTGCTGGATTCTGTGATTGTTCTTTTTATTTTCTCTGTTCTTTGAAGCAAGACAATTTGAATGAGGCACAATTTGATGTAGGGTTTCTAAAAAAACTGAAGTTAATATCTTTGGTTCCAGCTCCAACCAACACAGGTGTTGGTTGGATATATATATGTCCCATGTCTTTGATTTTCAGTTTGTAAGTATTATTTGCTTTTCAGGATAAGAGCCAAGTCTTGCAAATCTGTAAGCATGCCATTACTTTTGTATAGTCTTGTTAGCTTCTGTAAGAGCACTCACATGCATATAAAGTGATATACTTACGTATCTGCAGGATAGGGGCCTCAGAGGCATTGTGCTGCCCACTTTCTAACCCAGCATTTGAAGCAGTTGGTGCCCTCTAATAAGAATGTGTAAATTCTAGGTGTATCTGTGGAAAATAGATTGTTTTTTACTAGGTTGTAATTTTATATCTCACTCTAGAGCTATATGTAGAATAATTGTATGAGTGTTGCATAAAATTAAGTACTGTGGCTGTAGTGTAAAAGAGGCTGCACATTTTCATGACTGGTAATCACAGTAATGCCTACAAAGGTATCATTAGACCATAGGCTTCAAGCTGTGAATTGATCATTCCATGTGTTTGGGTCATGTTTGCTTTCTGTGGGCAGCACTGTACAATTTGT